AAAAACACCAAAACAAAAACACCCACAAACAAATCTCAGATCTTTCTCTTGTGAATTGCCCCAGAGTGTAGCATCCTCAAGGTGCCAAATAGACAATACCAAATATCGGTTCAAGGAAGCCTCCTTTAACATTTAGTCAAAGCATTCTGGCCCTTTAAATCTCCTTCGGCTTATTTCCCATAATGATCAAATTGGCCTTAGGATAGTCTGAGTTCAGAGCAACCAAAACAGTATGTCTTAGTTATACGGTGTCTTTTATTTATTATTTTTTAAAAATAAATTACAAATATATTTTAAAAATTAATTTCAGAGAGCAAGGTAGAGGGAGAGAGAGATAGAAACATCAATGATGAGAGAGAAGCATTGATCGGCCACCTCCTGCACACCCCACACTGGGGATAGAACCCACAACCCAAGCATATGCCCTGACCAAGAATCCAACGGTGACCTCCTGGTTCATAGGTCAATGCTCAACCGCTAGCCATGCCGGCCAGGCTATACGACGTCTTTTAAATACAACTGTTTGACAAAAATTAAATCTATTAAAGCACTTGGATAATAAAACTCACAGATCAAATACTAAATGACTTCTTTCAGATTCAGGGGTCTTTATGCAATAAGACGGCTAAAACTTATCAGATCCTGTCATGAGATACTCCAATCACAGTGGCTGCTCATTTCATTTCACGGCAAATAATAAACTTTCTTACATTTATGATAAAATAGCTTGAATACAGTAAAACCTCAATATGACGGGCTAATTCAGAGGAGGGGGGTGTCCGTTAAAGCTGAAAGTCTGTCATATAATGAAGTAGCTTTTCCCAATGCGTATGTTAAGAAATTGACAAATTAGTTGACCTCTTTTTACTCCACGTTTGTGTAATGAAAATTAAGCATGTATGAAAAGCTCAATTTCACAGACGTTTTCTACGTACATTACTATAATTTTAAATTTATACGGAAAAGTCTAGTAAATGCGTGCACTCACCGGTTCCCGCAGTCACCGCGAGTGAACAGAGGCCCAGGACAGGCGTGGCTTGGCGCACGCACGTGGGAACACCACCCGCACCTGTGAAAGCTGCCGCAGAAGGTCACGCCACGCTCAACAGAACCAGTTACCGCTGGGGATGCGGTGTGATCACGTGCTAATCATTAGCCAAACATTGTTTACAAGCGGTGACTCTCGGCTTTCCATATGTAGGCTATAGGTGTAGATATGGAATATTTATTTACGTTGGCAAAATTATTACAGTGTTTTTTTCAACATATGTCCTGTTCCTTAAAGTTTGTTAAAACACACACACACACACACACACACACACACACACACACAGTGAATTAATAACAAAAAAATAACTTGTTCATTCAATGACATCCAAATCTTGGTTAAAAGCATTTTAAAATTAACGGGGGGTTGATTTTCGCATAGGGCATACGGACTGGAAATTTTGTCTGTTAAATTGAGGTCCGCAAAATCAAGGGTTTACAGTACTTTACTTTTTTGCCTTTTCTCTCACAGGTTTAACAGCTTTATTTTCATGTCAATAAGGAATACTTTTTAAGAGGTTTTATTGTGGTTTTCTTTGCTTGACTACGCTTTCGGTGAACAGAAAGGCTTACAGACCACTACCTGGTAAATGTCTCATGTGTGTCTGAAGGACACACATTATGTATCCACTGTCCTAGACCAGAGAGATCTCTCTGCATATTGTACACCAGCCAACCCCCTCTTACCTCCGCTACCTTATGAGTGTACAGAACATCACCTTTGAAATCATCTTAGCTATAGGAAAAAATAAGAGCAATGGGGAAATTCCTGGAAAGAGGACTGTATTAGGAGTTTTAAAAAATTGGTTCTTGTCTCCGTTCTGCCAACAAATAAAATAGTTCTGTTATATTTTTTCTGTTTCAT